GTGTGTGTGTGTGTGTGTGTGTGTGTGTGTGTGTGTGTGTGTGTGTGACTGAAAGGACTCTTTCCATTGATATGTACAGATGCATGTGATACTTGCACCTTTTTTTGGTAAACTTTTCTAAGTGTCAAACTTGTATTTAAAACTGCTGTCTGTTACTGTTTGCTGCACAAAGGGTGAGTGTGTTTACTCACCACCTCTCCTTCCACCGCTTCATCTCCAGTTAGTTCCAACAGAAGTGTCTTAACCTCATCGCAGTGCCCTGAGGCCATCAACACAAGGGCTTTTGAGGCTGCAGAGTAAGGTCATCCTTGCTGCAGCACCCAAAGCCTCTACATTTATACTGAGCAGGCTTAAGCCTCTTAACAGCATATCAAACTATAATGGGTTCTTACTGTATCTTCAGGTCAATACTTGATTAAACCGATTTGTACCAACACAGTTTGCATGCAGACTTTTAAAGAATTGCTAAAGGTGTGACCACCAGCAACAGGAAAGATAAGTGACTTTCACATGAAGCCCGCTCACTTCTTTTCTTTCCCCCCCGGCAGGTAGCAGTGGGTACTTTGCTGCTTTTTTTGTTTTAAATTGACTCGTTAGGGTGACAAATTTAAAAAAAAAAAAAAAAAAAAAAAAAAGTTTTGTGTGTCTGACAATTGATTTCACAGCAATAATGTTCTGTTTTCATGTATATATTCATTAATATGGTGTAACTATAAGACTTAACAGGAGGATTTCATGAATGTGACATATTGTCAGCACGGAGCTACAGTAAATATCCTGCCCACAATATTTATTAAGCGTAGCGCCATCTGGTGGTCAGAAGTGTTACAGACCAGCAGTATCTGACTTCAGGCTCTAAAATGAAGTCCTGGTGTTCAAGCACACGTCCAGTGACGAGGCTTTTGGGAGGACTCGTCCTGACCATGACATAAATGCTTCCTATGATGCCTATTTATAATTGTGTACATAGTAAGCTAGACTTAAAAATAATGAAAGGACACGCCCTGTATTACACTGCTCTATACTGTCAGAGCAGAAAAGAAGAATTCATATGCACAGCTGTATTTTAGAGCCATTGCAAAGACTCTGGTGCTCAGAGCTAAAGATCTTAAGAAATGGAAGTTGAGCCATAACATACTGTACAAGGACCTATTACTCAAACATGTTTATATTGTTACATTACATACCATGTCTTAACATCGCTTTTGTCTTTTGCAATTCTCTAAGTATTCAGTTGATTTCTAATGGAGTTCCAGGTTACTGCTAAAAAAAAATCATTTTTCATCTTAAGACGTGACGTTAACGGATGTTTTACGGTTTGTTCATGAACTTTGGTCTTTCTGCTGCGATTCTTACCCAAGAACTTGAATCTCGACCTGCACACATGTCTGGTTTGCTGGAGTATCGAGTCATGTGACCTGACCAACTGTACATCACCGCTCTTTTTTATGAAGCGGGCTGACATCAGTGATGCTGGAGCTCAGACCAAAGCTTATGTACACTTATGCAACTACTCATTTGAGTTTTATAAAGAGATGAACCGTAGTTGTCCATTGTCTTCTCTCTCCCACAGAGACGATCCACATCTGGTTTCAGATATTTATTGCACACCCACATCGTGTAGTCTTGCTGTACATATTAGAGGTTCTAGCAGTGCAAAGTATTTTACACAAAGAGCAACGGCACTTCAAATACGAATGCATTTGAAATGTTGATTGCTTCAAATATGGAAACAGCACTAAGACAACAAATAAGGCCATTCAAATATATATTTGAATATATATATATAGCTGTATTTCAATGAGTCCACCCCAGCACCTGAATATAATATACATGCCTCGCACCCTGTAGATTTCTCTCCAAAGGAATTATGTAAGGAATGGATCAGTACAAATGTAAGGATGATTACGTCCTCTTTGGTAAATGTAGTTCAGACAAAAATATATTTCAAAACTACAAGCATCAGTATTCTTTAGATGCTTTTGCATAAGAGTCCATGGCTTTCCAAAAATATAACAGTGCATTCATGTAACATGTTCAATATTTCTGAATTATCTTTCTTTGTACCCACACTTTATACACAGTATCTAACAAATCTCATGATTAAACTATATGGATTTAGGACAGTCATTTTATGCATAACTTAAATTCTAGTGTTCAGCACAGGCACAGTCCATCTGTAGTGTGTGTGTGTGTGTTGACTCGAGAACAGTCAACAAGCAGCTGCTGTCTCCCAAACTGGGAATACAATCCTATCCTTCATATCCTGAGCTGACCCATGAGGTCAGAGAGGGAGGTGACACTTTCTCTCAGCTTGGAGTCTTCTTCCGACCCCAGTGACACTCCGGCCAAGCGCGTGGAACCGTTTGATCCCATGATGCACGGCAAGCTGAGGAACACCTCTGCACCGATGCCACCCCAGCCCTAAAGCAAACGGAGAGCTCAGATGAACCCGTAACACCTTCTATAGTCAAATTACCTGAATTTACGCAAAATGTGCAAGAACTAGTTCATTCGATGTTGCAACAGTAAACTTAACTTTAATTTCCTTTACATTGTCTTAACACCCAAAAATAAAAATAAAAGTTGCTAATGGATGAGACAACTTCACTTCAGTGTCAAGCACTGATGCATCTGACTTCAATGGGTATTGAATGAAGTAAAACAGCACACAACACTTTTGTGAGGCCGACGGTGAGAATGATGCTTTTGTTCTGATGCGAGACCGTTGGTGGTTCTACCTGAGCCAGGGTGCAGACGGAGTGGGTCTTCATCTTGTCCGTCAGGACACTGTTTGTGATGTCAGCGATGGACAGACCCACAGACCACGACCGCTGTCCTCGAGTCTTCATCATCTCAAACGCTCTACGAGCACAGAAAAAAAAAATGTGCAACTTTGTACACAAAAAAAAACAATACATTTGTGACGCACGATCACAGAGAGGTACCTGCATCGCTACATTTTCTAATCCCCCCCCCAAAAAAATCCACAATTTCAAATGAACACACATTTTAAATCCTTCCCTCGAGGTCATACTAATTTGTGCCAGCACCTGTCTAACAATGGTTTGGTAGAGTTGGATCCTGCTGCGATCTCTGGCTGCACACTGGAGCTCAGCCCAGTGTTACTCATCACAGCAACTGCAAGACAACAACATGGACAAGCTCAATCTTGTGTGTCATTTAATGAAGGGCCTTTACAAACGACATTAGCAGGTAGTGTAGCGTTGGTGGTTATAGATACCAACACAAAACAAAACAAATAGAAGATGATCCAAACAATGGCCGCGAATTAAAAGAGGAAGTGGGAGGGGAATGAAGAGGATTCGTGTAATGACATTTAATGCAACACAAGGCCTTCAAGTAACTATTGCGTTGATCTTTTCTGGCTCACCTTTGTTGTCTGAAAGCTCTCCTATGACCCAGGCCGGTCTGTGAGTGTTCAGGTTTATATCCAGGATGTGACTGAGTCGCTCCGAGTCCAGGTTACACCCTGCTCCGATCACCCGTGTCGGGGGCAGACCACTCTGCCTCCAGGCGACGTGGGTCATGACGTCCACTGGAATGTGACAGGAAAGACAACAGAGTTGACGATACCAAAAAAAAAGGTTCAGGAGCAACGAGGCCCATTCCTCAGAGGGCGAGTGTCTCTCTTTTGTCCTGACACCAACCTGGTTGCGAGGCGATGAGCATGACTGTGTTGGGGCTGAAACGTGCAAGATTTGGGATGATTCCTCTGTACAGGTCCACGTTAGTCTGGACCACGCTCGCGTACGACTGCTCGCTGCTCCATGAATTTGCGGTCACGACGACGACCCGGGAGCCTGCAGAGGCTGACAGATCTGACAAAGGATAATCATCATTAGTTAAGACACGCTTGACAGCATACCTTGTAGGAAAGATAGGTGACGCTTAAAAAGCTTTGTTGATGAATTCCCGATGGAAACGTCGTTTTCTGTTTATCCTTCTGACAAAGTTCAGGGTGAGCTACAGAGCAGCAGGTGGTTGGGATTCACTGCTTGATGTCATAGAGGAGAGTCATCGAGGAGAGTCTCCCTCAGCACAACGCCAGTCTGCTTTCATCAGTGATGACTCAGCCAAGAGGCTCGTCAGACATGACGGTGCAGAAAGTGACGTACCTCTGGAAACCTCCACCTGGGGCAGACGGAAAATCTCTAGATCGGTGCTGCCGCCCTTTGTCGAACTTTCAGAGACGTCGATGAAAACGAGTTGGTCCACTTTACACTGGATGAATATGAGAAGAAAGAAAATTCCGCCGTCAACAAAGGAATTTGACGTGCTAATCTAAGACTGTGAATATATGCCGTGAAGTAGAATCGCTGACACATACCTTTGATAAAATACTCATCACCGATGCCATTCCTAAATCTCCTCCCCCGATAACTGAGACTTTGTTGTTCGGCTGATCAAGACGTCGGCTTCCACCTGAAACACACACGAGTTAAGCTCAACAATAGCACACAATTATCAGATTTTTGATGAACAGCCAAGCTGCATATCAGATGAATCACCGTCGTTGATCTGTATGTTAGAAACAAAAGCCAGGAGCTCGTCTTTGTTGTCCACTGTGGACTTCGAGGACAGTGGAGGATCCTCCTCAAACTTGGCAGCCATCTCAGCCAGAAGACCCACCACGGATGACTTGGGCTGTTACAGAGCAAGACAAGATGAGGACACCTCAGAACCTCTTCCGTACAATTTTACATTTCACCAATAAAGTGTAAGCTCTTACATAATCCCAGTTGTGCAGACCCGGCAGGTGAATCCGTCCTCCCCCATCAACATGTTTGCCCTCTCTGATGACCATGTTAGCGGTCGGTCTCAGGAGGCATATGGGAGGAGTGAAGGGGAACGAGTCCATCAACCACAGCTGAACGGGGAAGTTATAGGAGCGACCTTAAGATAAGAGACGCCGGCATCAGCGCATGATAATGACTTCACACCGATATGATCGTCCCTTTCTCCCAAACAGAGTAGTGGACCATCCTAGTGTCAGAGGTCAGACTTACCTCCATATGGGACCGGGATGTTACCAACTAATCTCACAAGATCTTTTTGGGTGCCGTCACTAAATGCTGAAAAGGACGATATGGAATAAGTCAGTTTTCAGCGAGAAATACATGTGATGTATGTGGAGGTTCACAAAAGATTTATTCTTTTCAATTAAAACTCACTGTATGTGCCTGTGGACGGTACCATCCCAGGGTAGATTCGATAGATCTTCTGCAGCTCCTCAACCGCAACATCATGGAATTTGTACTAATATCCAGGAGTAAAAACAAATATACTACATGAATGTTTGTATACGCGTGTATATGCATAACTGTTATTTACCTTTCAGATTCAGCCCACCCATTTATAACCTCTTTGATTGATTTAATATTCTTTTTGCTGTTCAGCTTTGATTTCACTTCAAAGTCAAAAATTAAGATCCATCACTTAATCAAGGCTCAACAATGTCATAGGACCACACTCGTGAGGGGTTCAGTGGACCATTCAGGATGTTATTGTTTTTGAGCTGCTTCCCATCACACATTCAAACGAGCTGCCCACTACTCTCATCACATTCATTAGCTTATGGAAACTTTAACAGCCGTCATCAAAGGGGTAGGATGACAACGGGAAGTAACTTCAACGGCAAAATGATCCTATTGCTACTCCTGTAATAACTTCATGACACACTGAGACAAACAGCGCAGAGCAGCGATTTGTATTCATTATGAGTCCACATCACTGGGGTTGTTTTGAGAAAATACAGTACAAGTAGCAGTTTGTTTACGTCTCGCATTGTGTCATAGACTCGTGATGTAAAGTCGAGCTGGTTGAGCCAGTCTCAGGCTGACAGCAGCGTACCTGGACTAGCCTGCTATGCTACAGCCGGCATCGATGTGTCGACAGAGTGAGTCTAACACGCTGTTTAGAGCTGCTCGTTGGCGAGTCACTAACCTTGGAGAGGATCCGCTGTATTTTCTCTGAACGGAGGTCCATCTATTGAAGTACAACCAAAACACCAAGCGTCTTTCTGATGATAGTCTCTTGACGTATGACTTCAACTTTAGCTGTTCAAAATAAACTTCCGCAAACTTTCAGGAGTAGCTAATCGAAACGACAGATTCCGCCCACTTGGTACGGCAAGCCAAGAGGGACAAAAAGTCTCGCACACACCTTCAGCAAACCCGCCGCTGAGGTTATTCCCACAGCTGCATTGCTTTCATTGTATGACAAAGTCATTTAACAAAGTTAAAACTTATTGTATAAACAATGTACCACATAATATATTGCTAGAGAATATGTCATTGTTTTAACCAAAAATCATACCATTTTCTATGTACTCTACTAGTTGTTAATATAACCAAGTTCTGTGTATATTACTCTGAGAAAAAACAAAACAATTACATAAACCCTTGAAGCAATCATTTATCTCAACTCCCTTTGAACGCACAACACAGTAAGTGGTTAAGTTTTCTGCATAGTTTATCAAAGTTTGTTTCGAAAAATATGCAACAACTTCTGCTGAAAAATAGCATTTTATCATAACTGATGATGTCATTGTTAGTTTTAAAAAAAACAAACAAAAAAAAAAAAAAAAAAAAAAAAAAAAAACACACTTCCATATTTACAGTTCTCAGGTCCTTTTAAGAAATTGAGATCACTGCACAGTGGGGTAAATAAATAGTATAACAGGGAAAGTGAGATTTTTTTGTCACAGACTAATGCCTGAATGATTTGTTCATATTTTGTCTTTTTCAGGTTGTCTTTGTCTAACATTGTTTTCTTTCCCTCTGGATGCCGTGAGCCACTCCACTCAGTTTTGGTCCAATCATATTGAGAGAAGCAGCGAGAAAGACACACGGTGAGGTGGACACAGTCGCTGAGTGTCATGGCAGACCGCCCGTCCTGTTTCAGCAGACACAGGATTGTTTGGTTGTTTTTATTCCTCTCAACGACAAAAAAGGGGGCTTCAGTTCTTTTTTTTCCTCTTGGCCTTTTGCATGTTCAGGTCGACTTGGTCCCTTTTCTCCTCCTCCAGATCTTCCTGCACAGCCATTCTCAGGCTGAAGAATCGAAGCACAAAGATACAGAAAGATACCATGAAATAAAGGCGGTACATATCACAGCTCTCTGTACAAAAAAAGTTCATGTATAGTCGCGGACGGTGAGAAGTGTTTTCGTCTCACCTCCTGGCCTCCTCTTTCTGCATATCTCTCCAGCTGCTCTCCATGAATTTAAGTGCGTAGTCGCTCTCGTCCCTGTACCTGAGGAGGTTAGAAGCAGATACAGTCTTTTTATATAGAATTAACAATACAGTAAGCAATGACTTGTAACCAGAATAGATGGACAACACTTACTTGTTCTTATCATAGCCAAAGATTTCCTTAATATGCCTGGAAATGTCGTCCTGCGGTTCATCTACATCATCGATAAAATCCTCCATTTCTGAGTCACACTCGTCTTCCTCTTCCTCGTATTTCCTCTTGTATGCAGAGGTGATAGGTGGCAACATTGGACCTGGATAAAAAAAATAAAAAAAAATTATTGGCTTTTCTTTCTTTCTTTTTTTTTTTTTTTTTTTTTTTTAAACATACTGTATGAAGCGGACATTTGGTCTTGCTCGTGGAGGTACGGGATGTGTAAACTAGCAAGCGGGTGATTTGAGAATTATTGAGTTTATAAAAGTCTGTTTCATGGTAAACGGTAAATGACATTGAAATAGTGTTTGTGTTGGAACGATAGCTGCTCTCTGACCCAGCAGGAACGACAAAGGCTGCCGAGTGCTGCTGACACACTTCATTCAGTTCAGCAAATAAACCCTTTGTCCCGTAATACCGAGTGTGTTGTTTCAGGCCGTTGGCAACATGTCAGAGGCTCTCTGTTATACTACATCATAGGGCTGGGCGGTATACCGGTTCAATCGGTATTAATTTCCTATACGATATGAATTTTTCATATACCGTGATATGCATTTTTGGTCATACCGCCCAGCCCTACTACATCATATCAAAACATGCACTGTTTTAAGATACTCATTGTAGTGTGTCGCTAATGAGGCAATGTGTATAAAGTGTATTGCTTTATTGTGTACACTACAATGAAATTGGTTTTGTGTACAGTGTAGGAGCTGGAAATACCTATGGGAATACTTAATTACAGAAAATGAATATATCTTTCATACCTTATTTAATTTCACATAAAACACAGGTAACTTTCAGAACTCTTTGTTCTGCTGCTGAAAGTTGCTGTGCCCATCATGCTGGAGCAAGACACTAAACTTTAAGGCTTTCTTTATTAGAGCATGGAGCCAATAGGAGAGCAGAGAAGGGCTTACTGTGATCTGAAGGCCTCTTTCCTAGCTGTGGCCGACAGTTTTTACATTATCTGCTGCACTGCGGTGATTTTAACCCATTTGGTAAAAGCACATTTGCTGAAGTCACTCTTTGTCTCTATTTTACTTGCATTCATTCATTAAGCTTAATGTTATTTTAGTCTCAGCAACATTACCGTTAAAGTCTGTTTTATACTTACTTAGTTGCTTTTTCTGTAATTACTATAACACACACACACACACAGTATACCAGTGCATTACCAAGTTACCAATTAACAAGTCCAGTTGGTTAGTAATATCTCGTTATCGACTCTCCGATTCTAACCTGGAGGTCTGTTCATCATAGGTCTCTGTGGCATTCCTGGTCTGGGTGGCATCCCGGGTCTGGGTGGCATCCCGGGTCTCTGTGGCATGCCTGGCCGAGGAGGGACTCCCGGTCTGGGTCCACCAAAATTCTTGGATGAAATGGTCTCAGACACCACGGTGCACGTGGTTCTTCCAGGTCCTGATCCGATGCTGCCAGTCGGTCGCCCAGGTACTGGTCCTCCAATTCCAGGCCGACCAGGTCCCATCCCCGGAGGTCGGGATCCACCACCTCGAGGGTGACCCTGTAGGCCACTCCCACCAGGCCTCGCCTGTGGGACCCCGCCAGCTCTTGCCTGGAGTGTGCCTTCAGGCCTCGACTGAGGTTGGCTCCCTGCCTTAGGAGGGCCGCCCGATGAAGGCCTCATCACCGAATTACCGCTGGATTTGACAGCAGAGTTAATTCTAGGCCTTAGTGGTTCTCCCTTTCCAGACTTGTGGCCCCCGACTATAGGTCCCTGCTTCAATGAGCCACCCTGACTGGGCCTGGTCTGTTGGGAGCTCCCAGGTTGAGATCTTTGGCCTGTTACAGCTGAACCAGGAGTCCTGGTCCCAGGAATACCTGAGGCTCTTGATGAGCTTTCTTTTTTAAGGATAAGGTCACTTGAAGCGCTGGATTTGTGGCTCGATGAGGGCTTGAGCCCCCCTTGCTTGGCTGAAACCTGAGAAGATGTGGCTTTCGAAGTACCTTTACCGTTCACAGCACCGGACGAACTAGAAAGGTTTGTCTTCGATCTGTCTCGATCGCTGTGAGACATCTTGGGTCTCTCTCTTTCTCTGCCACCAACAGAGGGCTTGGAAGAAGTCTGGCCTTTATCGCTCGTCGGTGTCGGATGCAACTTCTTTCCTGACCCACTGGGAGGACGTTGCTTTTCCAGGGAGGCCTTTTGTGGTTTGCAGCTTTTCTGCTCCTTCTCAAAAGTGTTTTTTCTCACTGAACTAGAGCTGGACTGAGATTTGCCATCTCTGTCTCTGTCTGTCTTCGAGTCTTTGTTCGGTCTCTTAGCCCTGCGCTCCAGCTCCAGCTCCCTTATCTCGTCAGCTGTCCGGAGCCTGTCATCATTTTTCGCGGCCTTGGCTTTCACCTCAACCGGCTCAAACTGCTTCTTCTCTGCTAATTTGAGTAACTCTGCAAAGTTCATGGGAGGCGGAGCGGGCTTGGGTGGCCCACTGGATTTTTTAGAGGAGGGCTTGCTGCTGCTGCTGCTGCTACCACCACTATAACCTGTGGTTTTCCCAGGTCTCCGTAGTTCTGGCTCTGATTCTGAATCCGACTGTTCATACTCATAATTGTCCTCATCATCTGGGTCAATTGAGTTATTCCTAAAGCCCTCCTCATTCATCGACCTTTCTTGCTGCATCTCTAGCTTTGATCTTCTCTTCTTAGGAAGCTCGACCACCGGGATGCCATTGTAGCCTCGGAAATTGTCCTTAGTCCTGGAAGCCATGGCTCGTGCTTTACGGTCCGACTTCAACTCAACCCTCTTTGCTAGTAGTTCCTCCTTCTTTTTCTTCATTTGGACTTCTGAAAAAAGAAGATACATAAAACAATCAATGAAGAATGCACTCTGCACCGTATGTATATGGCTCTTTGGTTATGAATCTGAACTTTACCTTTCTTTATCGTGTCACAGGTTTGTTTCTTCAGAAGCGCCTGCACAGCTGAAGGATTTACACCTTTTGACCTCGGGTACTTTTTGGGTGGTGCAGCTTGTAAACTGTATCTCTTCTGCTCGGAGAGACACAATACGAGAACATTTACAGCATAGGGAACATGAAGCACAGTCTCTTCTAACGTCTTAGTTATTCATCAGATATGTTGGCCTAAAGATCACTATACAAGCACACGGGTTTTTGTAAATGCCTCGCATGCACGGTGAGACACGAGGGTGAAAGTTAGCAGCTAGCTACTTTATCAGATCCCCTCTGACAGATGAGGTGGCACTTGGGTGTGCTCACAGGGTTGGCCACAAAGCCCCATTTTACCGTTCGGCCTGAGTAAATTGAGTGCAAGTGACAGTATCTTTGACTTACTTGTACATTGCTGGTGCTCGGATTTTGCGAGGCGATGTCCAATATATTATCAAAGTCCATCATTTTGGCAGCAGGTGATACTGCTGCTGTTTGAGATAAATCAGGGCAGACTCAACCAGGTGGTGCTAATGCTAAAGTTAGCGTTTAGCTTACAAACCAGGTAGATTGGCACGGGATTTAGCGTAACCAAGCGGTACTCAGATGGCTATAAGGAAAACAATTCATCAAAAACAGTCCATATGATGTAAATCGGTGTATCAGATAGTTATCGCTACTTTACTTCACCGGTTTACGTTAGCATATGCTAGCGAACTTAGCATAAGCTAACCTTACGTTTACTGACGTTAGCCAACCAAGAAGCCCGAAAGACGAACTTTTGTACTGATGTCACACGCCAAAGTAAGGCCGGATCCATCAACATACCCATATGATTAGAGTCTACTGAGAGAATACAACTAAAACGTTAAGATTACTGTTAGTAGAGACTACGGCGAGAGAGGCAGACGAATTCAAGTGCCCAAAGAGTACGTTAAGGAAGTGAGATGATTCACTTGTGCGCGTATCCGTCTTCGCGAGATTACAAAGAGTAAGTAAATACATCATAGTTTTCGGTCTTGGATCGATAATATATCGATAAGCAGAACAATACAAACAGTGCAATACACTGTGCTATTAGAAAAACACATTTTGTTTAACAAGTGTATTCTACTCCGTTAATGTTTGATAAGTGACGGGTTGTTGATATTAAAGTGTCGAAACGAGGATTTTGGCATTAACGAGAATACTGTATGAATGAACTGGCTTCAGTGGACTTTTAATAATTACATTTTACATAATGTAGGCAGGTGCGAGATGAAATGGTGTCACTCAATTTGCATTGACATTTTTACGATGTATTTGACACATGACAAACAAACAAAAAGAGTACTGAAGAAATATAAATATATAATTTAAAATTCAACTTTATTTCATGAGTCTATATCAAATAAAAAATAGTAAATACACACAACACTGGAACACCAACACCGATGTATAGTCAATCCAGTTCGCAAGTACCAGATCAATGTTAGGCTTATATTTAACAAATCACGTGTAAAAATGTATTTCACTGTATTTCACTTTGATCAGCTACGTAAAGCAATATTCCATCCAAGTTGTATGTGACGGCTGTATTGTTTCTTTACGCAATGTCCGTCCTAAAATAATGTTGACACTTGTAGACCACATGATGTCGCTACCATTCTGGATATTCTTCATCAAGTCAGCACAACGCAACCTGTTATAGCCTCATCATATTACATAATCATAGCTCCCACGCGATAGAGTACTGAAGCTGGTCGATACTAATTTTAAATAATTTATGTCCTGTTTGGGTATAAATATTGTATCATGTTTTACACACTGTACTTAAACCTGTCTATATATTAAGTGGAATAAAAGTGAAAATATATACCACTTAAATGTAATATAGCCAAAGTATCATAAAAATTATATTTAACTAGGCTACAATATTTGAGTGATAGTCACTTTTCACCAACTACAATTTTAGACAATGTCTTCCACATGGGACCATACCTCCAGTTTGAATTTGGTGTTTTTGTATATCTGTCAGTATGTAAAAAGTGTATAGCTACTGGCTCATTCGTTTAATATATAGCAACAACATAGAAAATAACTAAGAGAGAGAGAGAGCGCGAGAGAGAGAGAGAGAGAGAGAGAGAGAGAGAGAGAGAGAGAGAGAG